TTATTTACGATGTTTTACATTAGTATGAGTTTCCACGGAGCACAGTGCCTAGTGCGCACTCCCCAGTTATTTCATGTTTTTCAGGTCAGCAGGTCGGGCCGGGAGTGTGACATGACGGAGCAGCTCGGGATATTCAGGACATTTGTATATATGTTTTTGGACTGTATAACTAATATTTACGCTTCCGCTTACGTTTTGACTATCTTTTGACGATCTTTTGACGATGCTTGGATGATTTTGACGATTTTATCATATTTTGATAAACTTATCAGAAAATAAAGTTTTTAAATAACCGGGCGTTGTTAATAAGTTAAAACAACGGTTTTTCTAAAGTTAAGTAAAGTTTTCACGGTAGCACCCCAAACCAGTTTCGCAAAGTAAAAATGTTTTAGTTTTCAAAGACTTTGCGAATAAATGCGCTACTCTGATTTATCTAGTAAGGTGGGGTGTTACAATCAACAACGAAAAGAGAGAAAAATTTCGCAAAACACAAAGCCCAGATACAGGAAATACATAATCAGGAGAAAAACAACTTACTCATAATCACGGAGGAGAGAACCGGGGAAAACTTGAAGATGGCAGAAAAATTGCTGACGGAAGCTAGGATTTTTGCAGAGAGAACTTTGAATGCCAAGGAGTTTAGGGAAGATGAAGGTGGAAAAAAGTCTGAAATTTCGCTAAGTACGGGTTTTATACTTGGGGAAAATTAAAAGGGGAAGAAGGAAGACCGTCGGATTAAAGCTAGATCGTGCGGCGGGGATATTAAATTGCACGGTACTCCAAGCGGGCGCGTTAGGCGAGGGGGCGTCATCATTAAAGCATCTGACACACACGAAAAGGTGGGACACGTGGCGAAAAAGTGGGCGCGACAAGAAAGACGTGGGACAGGCAACTTTATTGCTGGAAATTAATGAAGAATTATTCAAAAGAATAGGCGGGAAACCCTTCAACTGGTCAATACCCAATGATGGGCCACCCAGAAGATCGATAAGCATGAACTCACTCTTAGATCGAGTCATTCAGACTCGACCAGAGTGGGGGGGACTAGATGATATAGGATATTATCTGTACAAAGACGAACCGATTGGGTGAGCCGGTCGAGAAGAGCAGACCGGGAGCAAACCAAGCCGAGAGGCGGGAATCCAAGGGATCGAGCAGCCCCAGGGCTCGACCACACAAGCGATCGAACAATACAAAGCTTGACTGCACTGGCG